CACACATTTCACGCTGAACTTTATACCTGCGGCTTTCCCATCACCGTTAGTGGCTGCCGCATCTTCCTGTTGCTCAGGCCAGAAGTACTCCAGTCACCCTCACAGATCCAGAAATCAACCACCTCTTCCCATCTCCGCTGCTACCTCCCTCGTCCATGCCTCCATCACGTCTTGCCTGGCTGGATGCTATTGCCCCCAAAGGGCCGGCCGCCTACCTGCTTTTCCCCTCACCCCCGCCAAGTACATTGTCAACATAGCAACCAAAGTGATCTTACTTAAATGTAAGTCATATGATTCTACTTCTCCCAAACCCCTGCAGTGTATCCTTATTACTCTGAGTAAAAACAAAAACACTTATAATAACCAGAAGGCTATGCATGTGTCTCATGACCCCTCTAACTTCCTGTCTCCATACTTGGCCTTTCCCACTGTGCATTGACCTCACAGCTATTTGCTGTTTCCTCTGAAACATTCTTCTTCCAGATAGTAGTATGGCTTACTCCCTCGTACCTTCAAGTCTTTGTTCAAATCTCACCTCTCACCCTGACTACCTTATGGGCCCCCACCCAAAAGACTCCCAAATTATTTTTCCTTCTCTCCATGCATTTACTATCTTCTAACATGCCATACAGTTTTTTCCACAATGAAAGTATTTATTATGTTTATTGTCTGTTTTGTTCACTGACATATTCCAAGCATGTATCACAGTGCCTGGAATATAGTAAGTGTTCAATAAATTTGTTGAATGAGATCAAATAATTTGTTCAATAACCTACTTAGCAAATTTGTAAAAATTCTGTGCAAGGCATAGAGTTGGGTGGGTACAACAGGAACAAGGTAGGCTTTCTACTCCTGTAGCTTATAATCTAATAAGAAGAAAAGGAAGTACATAAAAAACTCACATAAACAGGACTGAGCTCACCCTAACTCAGAACTCGAGGAATGCCAAAGGAAAATTCCAAAGAAAGTATTAGACTCAGAAGAGATCAAGTTCCCCTCTGACTGAGATGACTCCAGATGGTTTTCTGGGTGGAGTATTTGAAGAGAACTTTGAAAGACAGGGGGTAGATTAGTAAGTAAATACAGAGAAAGAAGTACTTGAGGGTAATAAACACCTTGGAAGACTTGAAAGTAGCAAAACAAAAAGACACTGTCAAATACTAATAATTTGATATTTATGTTAATAAGTTATAGTCTTATTAATATATCATTTATTTACACAATAAGGGCTTTGTAAGAAAGGAGAGGTAAGGGGATTGAATTATCTCAAACATCTAGAAATGGAATGATAGTGGGGACAATTTTCAAAGAGCATTGAATGCTGAGCTAAGGAATTAGGCTTAATTTATCCAGTAGGGATCCACTGTGGAGTTTGGAGCGGGCATGGGGGAAGGCGGGTGGCATGTTCACAGTGCAGGCAGGTGAGCAGCTCATTGAGGGCTGTGATTTGTCTCATTTTTCTTTGGACCTCCAACACCTGCCACAGCACCTGGCTTATTAGTGGGTGCTCCATATTTATTTATGTTTCAACCAATGATTGAAGAGATGGTAGAAAATCTTGTCAAACAAACAAGTCACATTCTAGCAGCTGTTGGGAGGATGGCTTGAAGGAAAGATAGTTATTAATAAGAAGGATGAGAAAGCCCTGAAACAGGGTTGTTCAATGAAAGAAGAACTAGGTACAAGCAATGACACCACATAGGAAAAACCAAATAGGATTCAGAGACTGATTGGAGATGAGGGTTAAGAGTGAATGAACAATAAGTTCAATCTAAGTCTACTCCACTCATAACATATTCAAAGCACAGGACTTTTAGCAGCAAAACGAGATTCAGAGGTAAATGCAAAGATTCCAATGTGGGCTTAGAAAATAACATCTAATTAAAATAATCAACCATAGACTTTTTTTAGGCAACTATAGGTGCCTCTTGGGAAATTAAGTATAATTGCAGGCATTCATCAGCTTATAAATTTCAGGCTTTTGAATGCTTGGAGGTGGCAGTGCAGAGGAAATTCTTGGGAGGAACCAAGGGAGTATGCAGAGTCTGGCAGACCTGGGTTCAGGCCTTCCTCCGCCACTCACTCGCTGTGCCGCCTCCCTGGGAAATCTGAGATTCTATCATCCAGGAGTTAATGATAAAAACAGTAGAGGGGGGTGTGAGGTTTATACGAGGGCATGTGAAGTGCTTGGCACAGAGTTGGTGCTTGATAAATGTTAGTCTTCCCTCCCTACGCTGCCCTTCTTTTCTTATTCTCTGGAATCCACTGGGGTGCCCCTACTTCCAGCACAGTTCTGGCCAAAACATCCTTCTGTGCATGATGACTCTTCCACAAAAGGGTGTGTTTGCAATCATCTACACGCTTGTCTTTTATTCTGTGCCAGCTTCCAAGCCCAGTTGATTTCCTTCCATTTCTCTGGTGCTTATCTCCAAATATAGTTTCACCAGCACATTTCTCAAGTATCCTTTTATTCTGTCTTCAGGAAGGTTATTAATGAAGATGTTAAGTCAGGCTGGCATAAATAACAATGCTTAAGGCCATCTCCAGACACTTTCGTTCCACTCAGCAGGGATATGGTGTCATTCATCATTAGGTCTCATACAGTTTTCCAGCCCCTTGAAAAACTCACGTGAGGACACTCATGCCCACATCTCCTTGAATTAGTCTCGCGAGAACTCATGAACGGCTGGATTAAATGTCATTGCAAGATTGAACAGCTGTTACATCACACTAACCTATTATTCTCTGCTCCCATAAATCTTTACAATCAAAACAAATTAGTCTAACATGTTATTTCTAATCAACTGTCTCTGTTGTTGTGTGTGGCTCATGCCCAAGAGGAGATGATAAACCGGTTGATAAAAGTAACAACATCTCATCACTGCTCCAAACATGGTCGAGTGGTGAATAAAGAATAATGACTCCTTGGCAATGAGAGAAATGTATAGCAACACAAACAGCCTCGACACAGGGTAAGCGTAAGACTCAGCCTCATGAAACTCATTATGACAAAGTCCTGGAGAGAAATCAGTTTGGAACCAAGAATAGTTGCAGCTTTCTTGAGCTTGTGTTTTCCTAATAGACCCTGGATTGCGTCACTCACAGAGATTCTCTTTCTTCCTTTGCTGAAAGTTGAGCATTATACAGGTGGCTCAGATACAGTTGAAGTATAATGATGGCATGGTTTTCAGTCTCATTCATGGCTCCATTTAGTTTCCATATTATTTTCCTTGCTTCTTTCCCCTCACTTTTTTAAAAATTGTGGTAAAACACACATAAAATTTACCATCTTAACTATACAATTTTGTGGTATTCAATACATGTATAATGTTGTGCAACCATCAACACCCTCCATCTCTAGAACTCTTTTCATCTTGCAAAACTCAAATTCTGTACCCATTAAACAATAATTGCCCATTCCTCTCTCCCCTGGCCCCTGGAAACCACATTCTATGTCTGTGTCTGTGACTGTGACTACTCTAGGTACCTCGCGCAAGTGGAATCATACAGTGTCACTAACTTTTAAGGAATGCTGTTGTCTCAGTCCACTTTCTCTTACTATTGATAATAACAGACTACCTGAAACTGGGTAATTCTCAAGGAAACAAAATTTACTTCTTACAGTTATGGAAGCTGAGAAGGCCAAGGTCAAGGCGGGCTGCATCTGGTGAGGGCCTTCTTGCTGATGGGGACTCCGTGCAGAGGCTCAGTGCAGTGCAGGGCATCACACGGTGAGGGGCTGAGCATGCTAGCGTGCTGGCTCAAGTCTCCCTTCCTCTTCTTATAAAGCCACCAATTTTCCTCCCATGATAACCCATTAATCCATGAATGAGTTAGCACAGTCATGAGGGCTGCCCTCAGGATCTTATCACCTCTTAAAAGCCCTGTCTCTCGATACTACCACATTGGGGATTAAGTTTCAACATGAGTTTTTGAGGGGACAGTCAAACCATAGCAACTATCTCCTTGTATTTTTTGTAAGTTTATAACCCCTCTTGAAACAAAAATGTGAACGAATGAAGAAATAAACAAATAAGAAAATAAAGCAAAAATATTGCTTGAGCTCAAGATGGGTTCTCTTGTATATGTATGAAGTCCGTGGTAAAGCTATAATGTTTGCTAATTAGAAAAAAACACAGTCGAGTGTAAGAAATATTCATTATTGAAATGTTAGTTAAATGTTCAGATAATAAGCATATTTAAAATAACAGTAAAGTCAAAGGACACTGAACATAATAGAGGTTCCCACAAGAGGAGAAATATTAAGATAATTGAACAAGGAAGAAATTGTGGATTCCAACTCATAGACCTAATGGGCTAAATGCGAATATGCCAGTCATGAAGATTATTGGCAGAGCTGCCTCCAGGACAGTGGTTCTCAAACTTTAGCAAACCTAAGAATTAATCACCACAAACCTAAGAATTAATCACCACAAAACACCACAAATCAAAATTGTAATGGCTGGGCTTCAGGAGTCTGAATGTGTCACCAACTCTGTGGTGGCTTGGATTTAGGAGGTTCTTTTCAGTGTTGAGAAGCAATGGTTAAGGTAATCCATTAGACCAGAGGTTGTGAAGCCTGCCTCTGTTCAGGTTGGTAGTATAATCTTAGATTATGTTATGACTATAGCGCCACAGTATCCATTACTACATATTTTCCACTGCTTTGCTTTCTTTCATCTACATTTAGTGTTGCCTTGCCAAGCTATTGAAAACAGGGGCAGAAGCAGGAGTGAATGATACTGGAAATAGATTGTCACGCACTCCTGCAGCAGAGGGTCAGCCCAGGCCCTGCTGCTCTCCCACTCATGGTGGCCTTGACAGTAGACCTCCTGGTAGTTTTTATCTTGTGTTTCTTTTCTGGTCTGTCTCTGTGTCATCAGGTACAAAGTGGCCGGAGGGAAAATGCTGGCCTCAGTGGAGCTGTGTTCAGCATGAAAGATCAGTAACCGGCTTCCCTCTGATTTATAGCTTTTTTTTTCCTCCCCCTTTCTTTCTAGAATATGTCTGTGCTGGAGAATCACCACTGGCGATCTACGATTGGCATGCTTCGAGAATCAAGGCTTCTCGCTCACTTGCCGAAGGAAATGACGTAAGTGCTGCCGAGACGAAACACACTGGTGTGCACACAGTGAAGATAAGCCTTTTTCTCTAGGGCGAGCCTGGGCCCCCTGGCGTGAATGGCAAGCAGCCAGCCGGCTGTGCTTCCTGCCTGTACTGGGGTGTCTATCTATCAGAGGAGATTTGGTGTCAGTTACGGCAACCCAGAAACCAGAATCCCTCTGTGTGCTTTGAAAAGGCCTTGGACAGTCAATGACCTGCAGTCAGGAAAAGGGATAACAAACAACTCTCAGTTTTCACACTCTTCAGCATCAACACTCTGCTTTGCCAAATTCCCATCCTTTAAGTTAGCAAAATTGTCCTCCCATGTAAATCCAAATAATAAATATTTGTGAAGAAGGGACGTAGGAGTTCTCAAGCTAGATCTAAAGCTAATCCAATAAAGTGTGTTTTGTAATTGCCAGTCTTACCAAAATTAGAAGTCAGAAATTATTTTCTAAAGTGTCATTTGTTAAGTAATTGAATTGATTCCAGCAGTTTTTTCATGATTAGTTTACCTATGTCTCTTGTGCTTTAAACAGAAGGGGAAAACACTAGTTTCCTGGTTCACAGTTCGTTAGCCCCCTTGTGTAGACCAAGGCCCTACTAAATCCAAGGCCATTGCCTCATTTTCCTCATAGCCCCAAGTTAGCTGCTACCCTGTGTTCCAAAGCCATTACTTATTTGCAATCTGTTTAATAACAATGTGCAGAACCCAAGTGACCTAGGTAAAAGGAGTAAATAAATTTCTGTGTACAGTAAATAAATTTTCTGTACCTTCTTAATGACAGGTACATATATAACTTGAGGTTAAAGGCCAAGTGGTATCTCCCTATAAAACAGGCAGTATGCTCCGGGGTTGTAGGTTTATTCTTGGCCCACTGATACAATCTCATGCTGTTTCCTAGCACCCAAAAGAATGTGGAATTTGCAGAAGGAACTTCAGTTCTGATAACTTTTTATCCAGGAATTAAAGAAAACCAATCCTCGTGCATGGAATAAAAACCTGTTCCTTTTACTAGAATAATAAATTGCAAAGATTGAAAGGACTAAATGCAAAAAGAACTAAAAACTAGAGCAAGAAATCATTTGAGAAGGAAAAGAGAAAAGATGAGGTAAATGGGAGGGACGAATTTATAAAAGAAAAAAAGAAGAGAAGAAAAAATAGTGAAGACAGAAAAGAAGAAAATGCAAGAAAAATGGGAGGAAGGGACTCGGGCGGCCAGGCTTGTCCCCTTTAGTGCTCACATTCACTCTGTTTGTTGCTCGGTTAGTATTCATTTCCTAAAATACTCCTTTCATCTCTATGGATTCCAAATTAAAATGCGATAATTTTTTAAGTCACTTTGTGGAACACAGTGTTATAAATTGCTTTTGCTAGAATAATTGTTATGCAATAATAGATGCAAAAGGACTTTATAACCAAAAGCTATCATCATCATCATTACACCATGCATTACATCATCCTCATGTAAATACTTTAAAGTCCTTTTTCTGATTTTTAAAAGTAAGACAGGTTAACCATAGAAACTAAGAAAAACTTAGAAAAGTATTAGTTTGAACCTTATGAAGTTGCTATTTTTGAGGGTCAAAAACCATAGACTATTGGCAGTTTCATACAGTTCAACCTGATATGAAAAAGAATACTAAAATTACTGGCAATCCTGCCATCCAGGAATAATTCATATTAACCTGGCTGGTATATTTCCTTTTAGACTTTTTTCAATACAATCGTATTTTAACAAAATGAGAGACTTATCCTGTAGTTATGTCTTGATATTTTTCATTTGCTGTAAAGGCTTTTTTCCATATCATTAAGCCTGTTACTTAAATTAAAATCGGTTTATTGGCTACATGACATTACTGTGTCAAAATCTATGCAACTACTGCTTATCATTGGGAATTTAGATAGTTTCCAAATTTTTGCCATTATTTATGCTCGACAAGCATTCTTAAACAAATATTGTTATCCCAAACTCCAATACTCTATTTTCTCAGAATATGTTTGCAGATAGAAGTTATTAGTGAGAAAGGTCTGAATTTTTAACACCTTTGTTTTATATTATCAAGTGGTTTTTCCAAAAATTTGTATCTATCTGCATTCCTATTGTTGGATCATAAGAAAATGTACCAATGCACCATCACCAAAATTGTTCTATCTTTATTATCTTTTTAAAACATTTGCAAATTTGACACATATATGTGAGTATATACATGCATATATATGTATATAGAGAGAAATAGAGGTTTTCATTGAATTAGTATACATCATTTAATTACAACTAAGACAGAAATTTTTCATATATTTACTGGGCATTGCTATTTCTTTAGAAAACAAATTTTTATATTTGTTCTTTTCCTATTAGTGTTATTCGTTTGTAAGAACTCTTTGTATATTAACTACAGTAACCATTCGTTATATGTCTTAAATATTACTTGATGTTTTTATTTACCTAAAAATTTTAATTTGATTCATGAAACATTTCACCTAACCAAAATAGTTATATTTCTGATTATAAATTTAATAAATTCATATTTTTAAAAAATTTATAAATGTTGAGAAGTATAAAGAAAAAATCACCCATAATCCTACTATACATTGTTCCAATTTATTTTCTATGACCATAGAGATCATGCTTTACCTGCTTTGTATCCTGCTTTTTAACATAATAATAAAACATAACATTTTTCTATGTTAAGAAATATAGCTGTATACTATCATATGTAATAATTGCACAATAAGAATGTGTCATGGTTTATTTAACTAATCTCCTTATAAATTTTTGTGATTATTTTTTGCCTAAAATGTTTCATTATTATAAACAATAGAATAAGCATCCATGTAATACACATCTCTACTAACATGTTAATAGAGATTTATAGATAAACTCTTGGTCAAATCATTCATGTTCATTAAATGCTTTTAAGACTAAGTCCTAAATTATCGTCCAGAAACATTGTGCTAATTTACACTCTCACTAACAGAGAAGGAGTGTAATTATTTTCTCCATACCATCAGCAACAATAAGTATTACAGTCATTCATTAATTCAGGGAATTATTTAATAGTAAATTTTAATCCTTACCAACAAAAATGGGAAAGTAGTATCACATGGCTGTTTTAATTTGCTTTTGGTTATACTAAGAATATTTAATATCACTTGACATTTGGGGAGTAGTTTGCATTTCTTTTGTGAATTCCCTGCTTTACATAATTATTTTTAATGTTCAGAAGTAGATTAAAGATAAATGTGTGGCTTAAAACATGTGAATGGTGAGACTATGAACCTTTTAGAATATAATATGGGGGAATTTTTTCATCAAAGCTGGGAAGGATTCTTAAATAGGAGAAAAATCTAAACTAACCATAAATAAAAAGATTTTTAGATTAAGCTACTTTAAAAATTAAGACTTCCTTTTATCAATAGACATCATAAAGAAAATGAAAAGACAAGTCAGAGTAAGGGAAGAAATTTGCAACATGTAAGTGACAAATGACCAGTATAGGCCCTAGGGAAACTTCTGCACATGTCTAATGGAGGTATACAAGGATGTTTACTGTGGCATCTTTCACAGTAGCCAAAAACTAGAAACAACTCAAGCTACCATCAAAAGCAGAACAGATAAACACATTGTAGTATCTTCCTACAATAGAGACAATATAATAAAGAAAATGGGTGAACTACAGCCTTCACATCAACGTGGATGAATTTCAAAAACATAATGTTAAGCTTAAGAAGCAAGTTATAAACCAATATGTACCATATAACTGACTGTTAAACCATATTGTTTACACATGTATGCACAGGTGATAAAATTATAAGTAGCAAGAAAAATGATTAAAACAGATCAAAAGAGTGGTTACTTCAGGGATTGAGGGGAACAGGGTTGTGGTGAGACAGGCAATAGGGACCTTCTGGGGCAGGCGGATGTTCTTGACCTGTGTGGCAATTATGAGATGTTCACCTTATATATGTGTACATATGCTCCATGCACTATGCAAAGGTGAATTTTAAAAATAGTTATGGATCTTTCCTTCCATTGATTACTTTCTAAATGTGAGGCAAAGCTCTAACTTGCTTTATTTTTCCAAAATCTCTCTCTCTCTCTCTCTGTATCATTTGTTGACTAGCATATCTCTTACCCACTAGCTTGTAATGGCATCCTAATCACCCTTTTGTTTTCAAGTTCCAGTATCTCTTTCTGGCTGATCTATTCTGTTCTGTTGATGGATCTTTCCATCCCCTAGTACCATTCACCGTTATTCCCATCGTGGCCATTTCTATTATTTTGCATTTTCTCTCTCCATGCAAATCTTAATGTTTGAACTGGTTTGAACTCTCTAAAAGCACAACCCGAATTCCTGTGATTCTGTGAGTCTTTTTGTGTCCTCCTCCTTAAAGCATGCATTAGTTTTTCTACCCGTAGGAACCATGGAAATGTATAAGCTACTACAGCTTTGTTCTCCCAAGGCTTCAGTCACTGTGCACAGCTGTTGGCATGCCTCCTGTCTGAGGACAGAACTGACAGTGGGAGAGACACTCGCTCGTGGGCTGTGCGGGGCTGGGACTCTGTAATAAACAGAATCAAAGGCAGAAACGGGAGTACGAGCCACCTGATGACGAGAGAATCAATCGCCCTCCTCAAAGGGATTTGCTTTCTGTGTGTGTGTTTTTCTCTTTCATTCCTGTGGATGCAGACAGGATATTGAACAGCAGCTGGGCTCCTTGATCTTGGCAACAGACATCAACAGGCAGAATGAATTTTTGACCAGATTGAAAGCCCACCTCCACAATAAAGATTTAAGACTGGAGGATGCCCACGACAGGCACTTTATGCTTCAGGTAAACAATAACAACTAACAGCCATTATCCTTGCTGAGTAAAAACACTTAGGAATATAATCAGTATTTTAGCACATTTGAGAAGGAGATATCTCCCATGCTGTAAATTAAGCAGTGATCTATTTTATTAAAAGCTTTGAGATACATGAAATTTTTAAGTGGTTTACAAGCAAACAAAATCTGGGTTTCGTGTCAGCAAGTTGATAATATCTCATTTTTCCTTGTTCAGTAACTGCTTCACCAAAGAGTAGCTCCACTGGATCTACCACATTTTGTAGCTTGCTGTGAAATTGAACACTGTCATTCCTGTGCCATTTTAAAAGACTGTTTCTGTAACACAAAAACTTTATGTTACCTGTAGTTCAGACAAACACTGAAAAACAAGTGGACTTCCTTTACCTAAAATGTATTTAATCAAACCCTGTTTTACTTACTTTTACTACCTAAACTATTTTCATCTGAGGCTCAAACATCTTTATCTAGTCTTGCCATTTTTAGGCAGCAAAAAACAAATTATTTGAAGTTGAAGTGAATTGAGTTGAATCAGATCAAGCCCAACCCTTTCTGCTTTACTCTGCAGAAAGGAGCCATTGGTACAGGGTTTTTTGTTCCAGGCTTCCATGCTGCCCTCTGTAGCTGTCCAAAGTGTTCCATCCTTGCTGGGAAATACCCTACTCCCAACTATAGAACTATGATCCCCTCCTTTTTCCTCCCAAACTAGTCTTCTAGTCGCTGAGTGCCACAAAGATTAACCAGGTGTCTGATTTCAGTGATTCAAGCCAAGCTGTAAGTAGTTGAAAGATTTGGCCTTGAACACTTAAACGCTTCCAAAGGAAGGCTTACTACATCAAATGACTCCCTCGAGGCAGAACCTGGAAGGGACTTTGCCCCTTACCCACTCCAACATGTCTTGGTACCCTCATTCACCAGGAAATAAATGTAAACAGCCGAACATGCAGCTTAAGATAATCCAAGGCTCTTCCAGACCCCACCATTGCTAGCTGGTCTGTGATCCCAAGGAATTCAGTCAAAACAATGGACACTGCTGGTGGGCTGGTCTCTTGGCAGCAGTTGGTGGTTAGAAGAGAGAAGCAACTTCTCTGGAAATTCAAGGTTACCCTCCCAGGGTCATCATCACTGATGAAAGCTGACATCCCAGATGCAGACTGGGGTGAGGCTAGTCACAAAGGCCCTGATGTAGCTGTCTAACAAAACGCTCCTAGGTTTGATATGACTTAGTTCCCTGGCTGGCAATCTGAGCTTACACACACAAACACAGGCACGTAAATGCCAACACACATAACCTAAGTGACGTATGGAGTCCGTCAATGTGGCTACTGTGAGAGTGAGGTCCCGATGATCTCACCTGAGCCTGGAGAGGGGGCCCCTGCAGCCTCCCTGCCTGTGAGGGGTGGGGCAGCAGAAGGAGCCAGGCCATGGCTTTCCTTGGCCTGCCCGCCCAAGTCTCCTCCAGGAAGCTCCATGTCCTTGGACTGTGGCTCTTCCCTGCTTCTCACGGCTGTAAAGCCAGCGTTCTGAACGAAGGCTTTGTGCGGCGGTGAATAAGTTCTGTTTCCCGCAGAGGCAGGTCAGGGAGGCCGTCTGTAAATATGGGCCTGGCACCACGAGGCAAACTGGCGGGCTTCACAGCCCCTTTGGCTAGGGGCGCATTTGCAACTGAAGGAGCATCCTCTGACAACCTCTCCCTGCCCTGTCATTTCTCAGATCGCCTTGAAGTGTGCTGACATTTGCAATCCTTGTAGAATCTGGGAGATGAGCAAGCAATGGAGTGAAAGGGTCTGTGAAGAATTCTACAGGCAAGGTCAGTAGTGATCCAACAGCTGAGATTTCCCTGCCCCTTCTTCTTGCAGGCCTTTATCCCAATAAAACAGGAAATGGCTAATCTATCATGACATTTGTTCTTTCATCAACTCTTATTATCCTAACCTTTCTCTTTAACTCTCTTGCAAACCACCAACCCTTTTTTGGAAAAAAATCTAAAAATAAATAACGTTGACTTATTACAGAAACAGGTAGTAATGAGGCACCATAAAAACGGGCCAAAGTGGAACATAAATCCATATGGCTTTCCTCTGTGTATATACCAATGAGAAGGACAGTTTGATTTTTTTCTCTGACCTTCATTTTAACGAGCTAAGCGCAGCCTAAGTGCTAAATGCTGTTTGAGGTCAATGTTTTCCACTCTGACAGAAGGACTTGGACTCCTTTTGTGTTCCTTCTCCTCGCTTTCTTAAACAAAGTTAATAATGAAATTGGACCCCGCTGACCAAAAATTGAGTTCATCCTTTCAAATAGAGTTTCCACAGTGAGGTAGAGAATTTTGCTGTAAAAAGACAAATGGCCCTGAATTAGGGTATAATTTTTAAAAGATTACCCTCATTCAGAAATAAGGCAATGAATTAGCAGGCAGGACCTTGATGTTGGGAGGGATATCGGCCTTTAAATACAGCCTTGTTTCTCCAGGCTTGGTTTCAATGTTCAGGATGTTTGTTCAGGCATCAGCGGTGCCCTCATGCTAGTGACAGGATCAGGTTTGAGAGGCTGAGAACAAATAAAGCTTGAAGTGTCCCACATACCAGCTCTGTGGGGAGGTCAAATAGCAACAGTGAGCCTTTTGGAGGAGCCTCCATTGATTGAAAGATGTGTCAATGACACCGTGATGGCCTCAAAAACAGAAAAAGAATTGATTGAGTTCATGCAGGGCCAGAAGGCTCTGCTCACCATCTCTTTCTGTCAAAATAAAAGTGCTCACGTAATTCCTGCAGCTCTGTGTAATTTCACTGGAATTGAGTGTGAGTGGTTAGAAATCTAAAGATCAGTTCTAGTTGTCCATGATATAAAACCTCCACTGAGGGCAAAACAAAAGGATATATGAAATCAGAGCAAGGAGGTTGTAAATTAAAAATGATACTTTCTTTACTGTGTGATTCATAAAATACTGAAATAGCACAGTGTGAGGGGGGCTAGCATCTCCATCCTCAGAAGTCAGACAATGGGACTGAGAGGACATTCTGCTCTTTTGGTTTTGATTCAGTCATAGGCTATTATGGGTATCAACTACAGTCTAAACCTTTTATTCACACATCTTGCACCTTATTTGGATTCTGAGCAACTTGGGGCAGGGACTTGGGGCATGTCACTTGGGAGGATAGTTAAGACCCACAGAGTTAATAAATCAAAGTTGTTAACTAAATGGCATCAACCAAGAAGGTTCACCTATAAGACCCCTTTGCAAAAACTTGCTGTTGTCCTAATGATATATGCATGTGCGATATCATAAGATGGAAAAACCTAGAACGTTTGTAATTCTGATCACTGAAGATGAGCTTCTACGCACTTTTCTCTGGCATGTCTCCTGGCAGAGGAAGGATAATAGAGAGGGCAGATCATGTCCTTTTGATTTAATAACCTTATGGTCTAGCAGAAGTTCTGCCCATTTTATTAATAAGAAGAGAAGACCAGACTCTCTGGTCATCCAAACTGCCTGTCCTCCCTACTGAATTATTTTTTTTAATTCTTTAATGATGACTTGTATCATTTTGATTAATCTTATTCTGGCTTTCAGTTTAGGATTTGGACTAAAACCCCAACTCATTCAAGCCTGCTCCTGGCAGACAGGCTTCCACCAACTACTAACAGTCCCGGACAAAGTATCTTTAATATGATTTATGATTTTGAGCAAATAAAAACCCTTATAATCAAGACTAAGTACATAGGGAGAAAGGAAGATGAGATCCCATGAATTAGGGAAACTTACATCCTCAGAACAGGGATTATGATTCCAAACACCATGTGCCTCCCTCCCCCCAACCCCAACATCTTTTTTTTTTTTTTTTTAAGACAGAGTCTCACTTTTGTTGCCTGGGCTAGAGTGACGGGGCATCAGCTTAGCTCACAGCAACCTTAAACTCCTGGCTCAAGTAATCTTTCTGCCTCAGCCTCCCGAGTAGCTGGGACTACAGGCATGCACCACCATGCCTGGCTAATTTTATATATATATATATATTTATATTTCGTTGGCCAATTAATTTCTTTCTATTTATAGTAGAGATGGGGTCTCGCTCTTGCTCAGGTTGGTTTTGAACTCTTAACCTTGAGCAATCCACCCACCTCAGCCTCCCAGAGTGCTAGGATTACAGACGTGAGCCACCGTGCCCAGCCCCCAACATCTTAAAGTTCTTAAATTTCTGTCCCCTTGTAATGACAGATTGATGTCAACCTAGTTTCTCAGAAGCTTTTATTGAACATCTGCTTCCAGCCTTGTCTAATCCTCAGCAAAACTGTGATTTTCCTTTGTACAAAGCCCCACTGGGGATGTTATTATGGCTACGCAGAAGTACAGTTCGTTTATGCTTTGTACACTCAAAATAGTTATCAGTAAAGTTTCTGGAGGAAAGAAACTATACAGTTTTCCTCTTTGTATTCTCTACGTTGATTGGCAAAGTATCTGAAACCTATAAGCGCTTTATAAATTTTGTTAAATGAATGAATGAACAAATGATCTGATTGGAAGACCTCCAGTGGCAGAGGCCATAGGAGAAGATCTAGCACTGAGCACAGTAGGATCTGAGCTGGGCACTGAGGATGTGTCCTGTGCCACACTTTCCAGTACGGAAGCCACGAGGCACATGTGGCCAGTTAAATGTAAATGAATTAAAATGTAATAAAATGAAAATGGTAGCTCCTCAGTTTTTTTTTTTTTAAAGTACCTTTTATTTTTTAGTACTTTGAGTTGCTATTTCAGCTCCTCAAGTTTTATTGATCATATTTCGAGGGGCTACCATAGTGGGCAATGCAGAGAACCTCTCTATCATTGCAGAAAGTCCTACTGGGCAGTGCTGGCCTAGACAGAGGGAACTAGGAAAGCACCGAGGTAGGGACGCACCCTGCTTTGTAGACCAGCTCGGTTTCATAGAAGGTAGGAACGAGAGGATGTGGCACCTCCTGGACACAAAGCTAAAATAGAGAACGAGACAATGGGAGCCTTCCTAGAAAGTGCATTTGAGGCAATGTATATAGTTGAAGTGGAAGAAAAACTGGAAGAAGAAAACTAGCTAAGAAACAAAAACAAAGAATGAATTATTACGAAACAAGACTAAGGTCAGGTAGGATGAAAAGGGGGAAATAAGGTATTCCAGAAGAGGAAGAAACAGGATTGATGCCTCAAGATGGAGGGTGGAGAGAAGGGAGAAATCAAAGGTGACTCTTCCAAAGTGTTAACAGAAATATGGAGGTAAGGAGAAGCAGCAGCATTGAGAAAATCCATTTGAATATTAAATAGTGTCTTGCCCTCCTTGAGAAGGTTAAGATCGCCTGGACTTGGAGAGCCAATGCAGCAGGCTTCCCTGAGCTCCTCGGATTAAGGCAGAGCAATTTCCTCTCATCAGTCTTGAAAATCACGGTGGCACGAGAGGCCGCAGGAGGCATGGCTGCAGTTTTAATGAAAATGACAGAAGTGCAGCCTCTCTGGGATTCTAGCTCAGTGGTTAATGTGCAAACTTCCTGAAGCCAAACCTGCTAGGTTGGAATCCAGGCTCCCCCCTTTCCTACCTGTGTGACCTCGGGTCAATGTACCTTCCCTGTGTTGCAGTTTCCTCATGTGTAAAATGGGGACTATAATGAGGTTGTTATAATGATTAAATTAATTAACATATGTGAGATGCTTAGAACAGTGCCTGGAACATAGTAAGTAAGCACTATATAAATGTTAATGTTTTTATCTCTTCTAGTGTAAGAGAGTAGACCCACAACCATGAACCTAGCTAATGTTTCTGAGCACTGTCTCCACTGATTAATCAGATTGTTTTTCCCAACACAAAAACTACCCATGACTTTTTACCCTCAAGAAGGGCTGATAAAAGTATTTTTGATAAAGCTTTGCATGATGCATTTCTCCTTTGGTCTTCTAGCTGATAAAGGCATTAAAAAGAAATATCATTCTAACCTTTATACTCTTTTTACCCCTTCATTACATTAGGTAAAATTCTAAAGAATTAGAACGAAAGGTACTGGACTCATATTTCTGATTAATTTTGTAGCTACAGACTGAGATGCTGCTCAAAAGAGATCTTTCTAGTCCTACCCCATTTCCTCTCTACTCGGTATTCCTGGTTGTCCTCAGATGAAACCAGACTAGGGTCAGGCAGCATGAAAGTAGGAAAGAGTGTGGGGGAGGATAAAACCTGTTTTCTTAACCTGTAACTTATAGACATTTTCATTTCCTTCCATTTCATGTTAGGAAATTTCCCATTGGTTGTTTTCTTATTTTTATAGATCTTGTTCAAAAGTTTGTTCTTGTCTCAGAGCACACCTTTTTACAATAAGCCTATTATAAATGGCCATTGACACTTAAATTTTCATGGAAGCTACCAGAGTAAGGCAGAACAAGTCAGTGCTAAAGGGTTCCTAATGATAACAACAACAGGGAACATAAATTCCCAAAATAACTTCTTCCAATAGGTCATTAAAACTATTAATACTCACTTTATAAATTCTAGATTACAAATGTGTTTCTTTTTCTTCCATCTTAGGTGAACTTGAACAGAAATTTGAACTGGAAATCAGTCCTCTTTGTAATCAACAGAAAGATTCAATCCCCAGTATACAAATTGGTGAGTTGGATTCAATGTCAATTTTAAATGAATAGTTTTGGCACCTCTGATAGGAATCACAAAGAAAAGGAGATCTTCACCCAGCTTTCGAAAGATCAGCACTGGAGGTTTAATCAATGTCCCTTTGACAGGCTGAGTCTAGATAAACACTTTGATTATGACTAGTCTACTAGGTAATTACCAATTGAGAAATTGTGAAAAATAGTATAAAAGTTTTGTTGCCGGTTAAGGGTGATGTCGGTGCATTCAGGATAATTATTACTTTATCTAATTGAGTTATGCACAAGATCATTAAGCAAATCAAAATGCAGAATTTTTAGGTACTTTAGTGGAGGAAATAGTTTTGCTCCGGTAAGAATTTCTATCACAACTTAAAACACACCACTAATTCCATTTACATTTAAAGCAAGCCTTTCTTTTCCTTGCAATTCTCTTCCACTGAAACAAAACCCAGAACTTTAACTCTTTTCTTATAAGCTCTGGCCCTGACATGTACCAGTTCCTATTTTTTATCTATTTTCACAGACTTCAGACAACTGAATGCAATCACTGTGCTACAGCCCTCTGCAATGCTCAAGGTTTAACAGGAAGAAAGGGTGCATCTGAAAAGATAAACTGAAAATTAAGAAAACCTGAGCAAGTTAGAATGCCATACTTATAATCACTGAGGGTCAAATCTAATCCACAGTCCTAAAAAGGAATCATAAAGTCATCCTTTATGGAACAAAATAAATCTAGCTGAAACAATTTGAAAGGAATATACAAATATTAAAATAGGTGTGTTGGAATTATGAGATTATTGGGCATTCATTTTTTTCCAAATTGTCCTTAATATTGTTATGTTGTCTTCACAATTAAGCCAATTCCTCCACCCCAAAGTAGGGAAGGGTAATAAAAAAAAATGGAACCCTAGGCTGATGATGATTCTATTGCTGGGGAGTTTGGAGATGGGAGCAGCAGCAATAGAAATCAGCCTTAGCCTCAGCCTCGTTGGACCCAGTTCTGTCCTATTAGTTGCTTTAGCTGTGGAGGTTCTGCAGATGTGATTCAAAATTAGACGCTGACCAAAGTCCTAGTCCTGAGACTCACTGTATTAAGCTCTGGCCAGAAAGAAATTTGCTAGACAACTGTTAATGACATTTTGGACCCCCCTAACAAAAGCATTCACATTGTTAAGCACACAACCTGGATTTGCAAGACAGACCTGATTTCAGAGATTCTGTCCTGTTGTTGTCATGAGAACACACTTATTTTGTCAGATATGTCCTGATTTTCAACTCAGAAAAATGTGGTTGCCATAGATACCTCTTTTAAAAATGGGTTGGGAGTTGAGTAAATAGAGAAATCCCATGGATGCTACACCAGCACACCAATAATAAAGAGAAAGAGAAGGTGATTATAAAACAATTCAGTACATAAATCTTTTTCTACCTCCGTTCCACACCTGCCAGCTCTTAAAGGTTCAGGGTTGGGAATTATGGTCACACATTAGATCAAGCTAAACTGGAAAAACCCAGAGAGTTAAACAGAGTCTGATGGATGCTGCAGGCTTCAGCCCCCCCTCCCCCCCCCAGACAACAATTTTTCTAGCAGGTCTTAAATAATGCAGCTATTTCCTCTGTCCTGCCTCCCTCTGAGTGAAAATCTTCCCTCCCTTTTTCCTTTCTCAATCCAAAATGAGAATTTTCTGGGTGCCTTTCTCAGGCTTAGATCTGATTTTCTGTTTAACTAATTCATATTTACCCAAGTGGAACTGGGGTTTAATATCTCCTCTCTTCCTCCTCTCCTCCCCTCTCTCCACCAATTCTGAATTTTAAAAAGGAAGTATTCAATCGAATGAATCTCTAATTGGTGAAATCTATAGAAAGCTGAAGAGAAAGAGGATGTCATTCAATCCTTGTCTACTCTGAGGCCGCCGCCACTCCTCCCTGTCCCCATTCCCACCCCTCCAGGGGGATAATTCCCAGCTAAATCAGCTCATCCCTTGGGGAGACAGGCCAGCACCACACACTGCAGGAACAGGTTCCCAAAACTGCAGATGCAGAAGCCTTCCTTCATTTGGAAAACTGCCTTATGGTGTCTATTCAGCCTTTAAAATCGCTTTCCTAGCTAGCATCACAAGTCTTTACATGTCTAACAAGTATAAATACAGATGTGTAACTCCTGGGTAACTTCAGGAAGAAAATGAGTTGATTTCTTAAGTGTTAGACTTTTTAAATGTTGGCTTTGTAACATTTTTAAACTTAGATACACTTGACAAATATTCACCCTTTGAACTTTAGAATAATATAATTTACAAACTATCTTTTTGGATATCTAATATCTAATTTATTTTAAGTTGAATGATATGAGAAATTAGATATGGAAATTGTGAAGGAATAAAGAACATTCAAGAATAGCAAGGAAAATGTGACATCCTTAACTTACTGACTCCCTAGATAACCTTATCAAAATGCCAAATACAGACATAAAGTCACTGGCTTAACTTTCCTCCTCAAGTTCATGTTCTCTAAAACAATCTCATTATATTTAAATCATATTTCACGTAAGATGAAATCATGCAGAAATATGCAGTAACATTTTGCATTGCTACATCCTTTTTCTATCTCTATAGTATCCTCAAAGGCCTAGTGCCGGTTATTTGTCCAAAAAAAAAAAAAGATCAAATCAAGCCTTATGATTCACATGCCTATAAACATATAGGGTTAGTTGCTGGAAATTTTTGTTATGCTGAAAAACATTTGCCTTTTCTCTCCAACTCTACATTTCAAGAAAATACATTTAAAAACCTAAATAAGTCCAAGTTTTTCAGTTCTGTGATGTTCCATGAAAAAAAATAAATAAATAAAATAAATAAATAAATAAATAAGTCCAAGTTTGTGATGATTCCAACAATTCTGGCCTACACTGAAAGTTATCTTTGCTTAACAAATCATGTCTAATGTAGAAAGCATATTAATAGCAAACATGATTAGAAAGCAGCAAATCTTAAATATACAAGAGAACAGACACACTAACAAAGAAGTGTAATACCAAACAATCTTATCTAGTCATTAAAGTAGGACTTTAAGACAGGTAAAAATCTGTATTGAAAATAAATGAATTTTATTTAACTTAGTTGTTTAATATAACTGAAAGCATAATATGGCTATAAAATGATAATCTTGGGGAAGAAAAAAGTATTCCACAGGGTAAGTGTACAAATTCTTCAGATGGTGCAAATCCATGAGATGTCCCTTCCTGACATTATGTGCTCTTTCTTCTCCTCCCCCTCCTCCCTCCCTTAGTTCCAACAGACTCCTTTTTCTTTACTTTTTTACTTATGTGTCTTTCTCCCTCTGCAAATAATAATAGCCAATATTTATTGGGTGTTCAGTATGTGCCAGGAGCTTTCCAAACATGTTTTTACATATGTTAAGACATTTAATTGTCAGGACAGCCTTATGGGTTTAGTGCTCTCTTTAGCTCCTTTTTCCAAATGAGGAAACTGAGGCACAAAGAGGTCATGTGACAAGCCCAAGGTGACACATTTTATGCTACTAGACTGAAGACAGTGACCCTATCTCGTTTGCCTTCATATCCGGAGAGCCGAGGACGCAGCGGGTCCCCAGTGGTGTTTGCGAGGGAGAAGGAAGTGGGTTTCCTGCCCTTCGGTGATGACTTTGGCCTTGCTCGTTCCAGGTTTCATGACCTACATCGTGGAGCCGCTCTTCCGGGAATGGGCCCGTTTCACCGGGAACAGCCCGCTGTCGGAGAACATGCTGAGCCACCTGGCACACAACAAAGCCCAGTGGAACAGCCTGTCACCCAGGCAGTGCAGGAGCAGGGGCAGTAGTGGCAGCGGCCCCGACCACGACCACACAGGCCCGGGGACTGAGAATGAGGCGCAGACTGCCACGGAAGGCGACATCCCGTAGGGGGCCTGGCCCACCTGCCTGCTCTGAGGAAGGACTCTCGTCTGAGTTGTGGCCTGGGGATCTTTGAATGCCACCCTCCTCCTACTCACCTGCCTCTCCTCCTTTCTGCAAGTGTACAGAAGCCATTTGTCACCTCAGCGTTAGCTGCCATTAGGAGCCACTCCATTCAGTGACCTGGGGGCTGATGGCACCAGCAGGGTGCCCCGCAGGAGAAGACTGGGAGTGAGAAAGAGGTGCTTCTGCCATGTCCCTCATGGCCCTGGGTCACACTGTGACAGGCAGCAGTTCCCAAGTCCAGAGCACTTTCTCATTTGCCACCTGACTGCTGATCTGCATGACAAAAACACCAGCATATTCGGAACCCCAAGGATATTGGTCTTAAGTGCAAGAGCACAAATGAGAGCGTGAGAGAAAGTACCTTCTATTTTAATAATAATTATTATAAAAATAATAATGAATCTTTTTAACTTTTGTATTTTATGCAGTAGACAGTGGGTCTAAAACTTTGGACTAAGATTACTCAATGTACCCAAACTTGAACAAGGGGTTCATTGTTTTGTTATAGACTTTATGCCACTTTGGGGCAGAGATTTGGCATCTTCTCAATTTAAGAAACCACGTTTCCTATCCGACCCGAGGGGAAGGTGCTGTACAGTTCATTCCTTTGCACCATTAGCCAATCTGTCTATAATGGATTCAGTGACATGTTTATATTCGCACATGTACATTTTCTGTAAATACCAGGCGCTACTGATTCCCATGCCAAAATACATGAGTATTATGGGATTGCTACCTGTATAAACAATGGCACTGTGAACAGAATACTGTTAGTTTTAATACAAGAGAATGCATTTGTAAATATGGTATAGAGTTTATTAATATACTATTGTTTGCAGATAAAGGCCTTAACTTTAAACATCCTTCATCTTCTGAAAGCTGCCCAACTTAAATCCTCACAGATATCTCTCTGAACTGCCATCCCATGTCCATCTTTATGTTTTCCAGCTAAGGTCACAAACCAAAACTGAATAAAGTCGAGGAAACATTTTGGAAACTTCACACACATTCCGCTTGAGACCATAGTGTTTAATCTATGGCACCAAGCATTGTTTCCTCAAATTAATGAGACCCTTCAGCAAGTCTGAATCAGTCACTTTTCAACACAGCCGCAGTGTTTTCACAAGCCAGCTGATAAGCTTGTGTCTTTGTGACTCTTGTTATGGAACATGGCGGTGCGTCAGCCTCACAGCAGACATAGGTCTCGAGAACCTTCTATGGCCCTGTCATCTGCCCATCAGGGAATTCCCTGCTCCCACACCACACATTTGTCTGTTCTGGCTACAGTACCAAAGGACCTTTGGTTTATGGTTGGCGTGTATTTCTTTGGTGTTAACAGTAACTGGATTTTTCTTTTTCCTTAACTTCATGTGAACAACTACCCAACTGTTTAGCTGAAGTTAATATTATTTAAGTCAAGAAAATACTTCAGTTTTATGACAGACTTTACCTTCCTGGCAGGTCATTGTGGTTAATTATGGCTCTAGCTGGCAGTGTCACCTGGGAATTTTGTTGCCATTTTTCTTCAGACACTTGGCCATGAAATCAGTTCATTACAGCATTCTTCTCTAGGCTGCTACGTGCTGTGCATTGAACCTTTTCTTTAGAAGTTTTAACATAACTAATGTTAGATAGAAATTGTTGATGCCCCTTTCTTTTTACCTTCAACTGTGTAGTAGTGGGAGAATGATTGTTTCTGCCACTATCAAGCTATTTCTCAAATTGGTAGAATAACAGGTGGTTCTCATTTCCTAAGTGTAACTGGTTTGGGGTTTTTTCCTCCTAACATACAAATGAAATGTCAAAAATTTGATTGGCCCATAATAAGTCCCTAGGGAGAGACTGAGGCTTGCAGAATTAAGGTTTAGAGGAAATTAGGGGAAGTTGGTTATATTTTCATTAAAGTAGGAGAGATTGTCAGATGGTGCTAAAGAAAGTGTGAAGATCTTATGAAATGGGTGAATGATAAGTTGAAATTGATATGGATAAGAAGGGAGGTTGTGGAAATTAAACACTAACTTTTTTTTTTGTAATAACTATGAACTGACAAATGCTTCTATGTCACTTTAATATTCTGAAGCTCTCAGTTTGGCAAGGCCCCAAAAGAGAATATGTTGGGTGTAGTCCCGTTTCCAAACCTCTCTAACTTTGGTTTGATGATGCAGAGAGGGCCTTTGAGTAGTCTATTTTTAATGTATATGGAATCAAATCAAGGAAAGCAATTGCTGGGGACCAGAAAGTAGAGATAGGAAAGAAGATACTATTTTAGCTAATGGGGCCTCTAACTTGAGTCTAGGAAATGGGCTTGTTTAAACTACCATTATAATTTAAATGAATAAGATTGAGATGTGCTTCGTAGTTCCAAGTTCATAGGGCAAAAATGTTTATGTTACAATTAGGTCTTGAAAAAGAGCTCACAGAGAAAACTACCAAACAGCCAGTGGTTGAGCCTATGAAGTAACTACACCTACAATAAAAATCTGAAGTAAAACGAGACATGATGCATAAACTGGATGCATCTGTCTCCTTCATTCTACTGTCTGGAGATTTCTTGAGTTCCTCATTTGTTGGCAAACAAAACAACAAAAAGAAAAACAGAAAAAGAATGTGAAAAACTTTTTTCTCTTGCCTACTAGTTGCTCTCTTGCAATATTTTAATATTTCAATTACTAGTTAAGACACAGCTACTGGATCATCTATGGGTTTTATCTTTACAACCTTATGGTCCACAGACCATCCGGAATTGATGTACCAAGTTTATTGTTTCATTGCTCAAGACGAAAGAAATCAAAGGGCTATTTTTAGTGAGCGAAAGGTAAAGGTAAGATCAAGTTAAGACAAAGAGAATATCACTGCCAGACCTGATAGGCAAAGCTTGCTTTCCTTTTAATAGCAGCAATGAATAGTCAGGACATTGTTTATGAAACCCTGACCTACCCATAACTCCCTGCTAGGCTAAAAACCACGCTCTGTTTCTCCCTGCTTATGGCTTCCCACAAAGGGATTTGGAGTGTGTCCTGCAACCCTGTCTTCAGATAATGCTTCCTACAAAACACAGGCTTGTTTAGTAATCTTTTCTCATGTTGAATCAGATCTGCTTACTGATTTGAATTTGGTTATGAGCTTGTATTTCCCTGTATTTTTCCTGCTTTGTTCTTTTAAGCAAACTCTTAAAATTGTGTCATTTTGTGTACACATGTGAGATTTGAAAAAACCACCTTGTGAGTTTTGCTCAAAATGTGGTCGAAAAATATCCATTGGCATGTCTAGATGAACTATTAAAAATAAAGATAATTTCTTAAAAATATCACAATATGAAAATATCCTGATTCTCACCAGGTACCAGCCAACCAAGTGGATTCAACCACAGGGACCCACTGCTCAGGAGAAGGAACATTGAAAGCAAGAGCATGGATGCAAACTCGGGCCACGAGCCTCATTCCCCCTGGGGGCTGCAGAAATGCCCGAGTTGATGAAGATGTTAGTACCGAGTTAGGGAAACCGGGCCGCTGTTCTGCTCTACACCCACCCAGAGTCCTGATATTTTTCTGACTCACATTTGTCAAAGTCATATATAAACGGGAATGTGGTACAATGTTTTAGGTTGTACATAGCAGGCTCAATGCAAGGATTATTTGTGGAAAATGTGGTCTCACAATTCAGGATGGGAGGAGATGAAGAAGAATAGAACAGTTCATGCAGGACAACTGAGTGTTCTAAATCTATCTAGAAACAAAGGAGACACAGAATACTACCCTTGTTCCCCAGAAACACTCTTGTATCTTTTTGTATTCTCCCATATCCATTTTAAGATTTGTATGCAGAATCCCACTGATTCCTCAATGTCTGCCCATGTTTGAATGCAAAGCTTCTTTTTCATTTGTGGACATTCTGTGTTAGAAAGTCAAAATCAAAAGGGAGACCCCAGTAGTATTTCAAGTGAAGGTCAGACATGACTTTTAAAAGTTACCCAGAAACCTAGCCGAAACATTGCCAAAGAGGCCAAGCCTACATGAGCAGTTACATTCCAAGTAAATAAATATTGATTAAGGACCTGCCACGTGTGAGATATTCTGCTAGATATTGGGATATAAAAAGACCCAATCCCTCCAGGAGCATTCAGACTTGTGCCAGAGACTGGCGTTATCAGTGAACGCCTCTTAGATAATTTGTGAAACACCTGTGATTGCCCAAATGCACCCACAGCTCCTTCCTGGAGTACAACATGATAGAAAGCAGATAAGCTTCCAAGACAGAAATGGGTCCCCAACCTGGTTTTGTTACTAACTTATTCTGGGAGTAAAGGGAAGTTCCTAAAACCAGTGTAGAATTATTTGCAGACAATAATACCTTTTATAGTATTGTTGTGGCAATTAAGAGATTGCATACAAAAAAGCACCAAGGACACTCTCTGGCACATGGTAGATTTTTCAATAGATAGAATTTCTCTCCTCTTAACAAAAAAAACTTGGCAAATAGACATTTACACATGGGTAAGATTAGGGAGAATTTATGGGGAAATATAGTAAAGAAGTGCTGGTGATTTCACATTAGGAAGTCAAACTCCTAATTAAGCCAGAGAGATTATTTTTTAAAATTTAAATTTTAGCTAATATGGTTTGAAAATGCATGATTGCCTTGTCAGTCATCTAAGCAACAATTCAATTGCCTGAAATGCTTCAAATTCTAGTATTGCAAATACTGATCTAATCTTCAGTATTTTTTTCCCTTTTAGGGAAGCAATGCAGTAGAGTTTTTAAAGTGTGGGCTTTGGAGTCAGATAGACCAGAATTTAAATCCTTCATTATCATTAGCTGTTTAACCAGAGGCAATTAATTTAATCTTCACTGAGCCTCCATCTCCTCTTCTATAAAATGATAGCAACTTCTACCCCCTGGGGTAGTTGTGAGGACAAAATTAAATGATATACATAAAGCATATAGCACAATCTCTAGCAGAAAGGGAGTACTCAAATGTAAATTTGTACATCATTCAAAGAAAAAAATATCTATAATGTGGGAGTTGGGATGCATCTTTTGCTTTATGTAGGTTGTGTCAATTTTTATGCAAATGAAAACACATGACCCATTAACAGACATTAAGTATGATTACCTACAGGTGGCCATGTTGGTCAAAACATAATCCTTATATTATGGGCAAAATACTGTAAAAATGATTAAAGAAGACAATGTCCCTGGAGTACTAAGGATACACTGATAAGACCAGAGACAAATAAGGGCCTACTTCTTCTGATTTTAAAGTAAATACTCCTCAGCCCAACCAGAGAAAAAAATAGTCTGGTTAACCTAAAACTTTCCTGGAGTTGACAAGAATACAACGCTGGCTAGAGAGAAGGCTTAAATAAGCAATCTTTACAACTTCTCAAGTTTTCTTCAATTCCATGCAAATCCTACAAATTCCATTGAGGCTCCCAGTAGCCCTTTCCCTTGCAACCTCTTTTTTTTTATTATTTTGTTTGTGTTTTGTTTGTTTCTTTTTTGAGGTAGGGTCTTCCTCTGTAACCCAGACTGTAGTGCAGTGGTGTGATCATAGCTCACTGCAGCCTCAGCCTCGAACTCCTGGACTCAAGTGATCCTTCTGCATCAGCCTCCCAAGTCCTAGCTAGAACTACAGACACACACCACGATGCCAGCTAATTTTTTTAATGTTTTGTTTGTAGAGATAGGGTCTTGCTGTGTTGCCCAGGCTGGTCTCAAACTCCTGGCCTCAAGCGATCCTCCTGCCTTGGCCTTCCAAAGTGTGAGGATTGCAGGCATGAGCCACCATGCCTGGCACCCTTGTAACCTCTTCATCAGATACTTTCTGACCACTGACAGCAGAGGCTAAGGACTCCAGGGGAGTCTTTGCAAACAGATGCCCTAAAATAAATTCAGTTCTCCTAAACTAACATTTTCCAAATTGCATAAAAATATGTGTGCCAAAAGATGTTTGTTAAGTGTGCCCTGAAAAAAAAATGCTTCATAGTCAAAGGAGTTTGGGAAACATTGGATTAAGCACAGAGGTTGTTCTCCTGCATACTTCTCAGAGTTCTCGAGTGCTAATGGACGTCTCCAAAGAGATGATGTAGATGACATCATCTGTTTGGATCTAGTTTTGGTTTCATATCATGCACCCTTCCTTAACTGTTTGAACCCGGGATGATCTCCCTATTTATCATTTTACTGCCTTAGCATTGTTAGTGATGATCAGTTGTTTTTTTATTATCACTAATGATGCAGGTGTGTGTGTTCTGCCCAACTTGAGGTGTACTATAACGTAGTGGTTAGCTTACCTGAGTTTGTGGCTTGACTTTACCACTTGCTAGGTGTTTGACCTTGGGCAAGTTTCCAAACTTCCTGTGCCTCAGCTTCTTCATCTGTAAAATGATTATTAAATTAGTACTTATTTCCTAGGGTTTTTGAAGATTAAAAGAGTTCATGCATATAAAGCACTTTGAATATTACCTGGCACATAGAAAGTGCTCATGAAATGTTGGTAAAAACCATCTTCCCCCACATCTTCCCCCACATCCCTCTCTCAACTTGTCAGCTGCTTAATAACGGGGATAACTATCCTTATTTTATATTCTCCGTGTAGCCCAGAACATACCTACAGAAGATATTGAATCAGTACTTCTTAAGTGAAAGTACTTCTTAAATTTTTGAGTGACAAATTGAAAATCATATCAGAATAGTACGTTCACATTTAAGTCCAAACAAATAAATTCCAACTGTCACAATAAATGCCCCAGTAATTTAAATACAGATACTATTTTTCAAGTCCACAGTTGCTATCTGACAGAATTCTAGTGTTTTTAAGGGCATAGTTTAGGAAGGTAGTAGCTTTTCTTGTCCCAGTTTCTGAGCATACTCTTCCAAGTGGTGAGGGCAAGAATCATTTCCCTGAAGGACTTGACATTCAAAGGTTTCATCCAGCTGAAAAAGAAGCTACAGAAGCACCACTAAATTACTTCCTTTGCAGGCTAATATGTATCCTATTGTAATACACAATCCAAGAAAGACGGATAAATCCCAATGCTCATCTTTTAAAAAAGAATGTGGAGTAGCAGATGAGTCTCTTATTTTTTCCTTGTTAAAAGCACTTCGGATTACACATAACCTACTCCTACTCTTTTTCTCAGTAAGCAATTATATGTGCACTTTCAAAGTTGTCGGTAAAGTAAGCCTAATGGGCCAAAATGTAGGATCAGTTTTGGGGGTTATTTTTTTCCTACTTCCCACTGCTATAATTTAGTTTGGACTTTTTTTTAACAGGAGAGTCAGACTTTACATTTCAATGGACTTCAGTTTTCTCAGAAACACCTGTCTCAGTCCACGTTTGAAGAAAAATAACTTATAAATGAGAAAACAAAAGACCTATAGTGTTATGCAATAGCATAAGAGAGAATTATATTCTGTAATTACAAATTTCCAAGCATTAACCTTGCTAAGATGAGGACAGCAAAAAGCTCTGATGGCTCTTTCAATACTTGGGTTATGTGACATGCTCTGAAATATTTCTTAGCTGCTTCTACTGACTTTAGTTACTAAAAAATATATTAGTCATTCTATAAATAGCTTATCAAAAATATCCTTTTGCATCTGAAGCTTTCTTTACCTTAAACTCTAATGGGAAGGTTAAGATTTTCTTTTCACTTTAATCAACATTGTTTTCTTTTTTAAACAGCGAGTTTCCAGTTCCCAAGCTTGGTTTAGTGAGTGTCCAACCCCATGACCATCCTGTATAAAGTGGCAGGTAGCCAGGCACAGGTCCT